CTCTCTCTCTCTCTCTCTCTCTCTCTCTCTCTCTCTCTCTCTCTCTCTCTCGTGGTTGCTCGCTTGATGAGTACCTCAACAGGAACCGGCCGACGTTTTTTGTTGTCGAGCCTCCCGCCCGACGGTATTTGTCGAAGAGTGTCCCGTTCGTTTTCCTCTTTGCTTTTTTGTTTTTTTTTCCTCGCGAAATATTTATAAAAAAAAAAATTATTCGGCAGGCTGCAGGCGCCCCCTGCCCGCCACGCCCTGGAACGGCCGCCACAACGGTGGCTGCATGAGGCGACGCGGTTTTGAACGTCATACGGTCCCCGTTCGAACGGTCGTACAACCGTCCGTACGGCCGTATGATCCAGGCTCCGTACGACATACCAAGGTCAACACAGTTGGAGCCTATTACGAGCGAAGTGTTGATATTCCTGACGCAGCTCCTCGACGACCTGCCTCAGGACATCATCTCTCGCTGCGATCAACGTCCTACGCCGGTCATGCTTACACGTACCTTAACGTCGCATCTGTTGTGGTCTCCGTGCACGGAGATCGACATGGACAATTGCTATTACCCCTCTTCGGGCCACTACCTGGTTATCGACGTGACCGACCTCACCTTTTGGGAACCGATCATTCGAAGGGAGGAAGAGAAAGAAGAGATAGGTGAAGAGGAAGAAGAAACGAGAGAAGAAGAAGAAGAAGAAGAGGAAGAAGAAGAGGAAGAAGAAGTGAAAGAAGAAGAGGAGAATTTGGGGACGGAATTTGACGACCCCGATTACAACGAGTCAAAAGGAACTGAGTCAGGAGCGAGTGGGTCGGACGAATCGGACAACCCCAGCGATTCAGCAAGGAAGAAGACGAAGCCGCAACACCGAAAAGATGAGAGAGGGTAGAAGGAAAGCGGCCAGTAGAGCAATCGGACGGACCAGCAGTGCAAGTGTTACAGGGCGATCCGACTCGTTATCCAGAGTCACCGGAGGAGGAACTTGGGGGAGATGGCTTCATCGCTGAAGGATCAAGCTGCAGCCTGCAGGCGCCGAAGAAGAAGTCTTTCGCCGACTCAATCCCTTTTGTCACGGCCCACCCTTCGCCTACGTGGAGATGCGGGCGCTCAGGCTTTGTCCCCGATCTTTATCCCGACGCTTGCTTGATTACCTTACCCTCCAGCAGCTCGCGGGCCGTCCCCCGTTTTCTCTCAATTGGCACCCCTTCCCGCCTTCCCTTTTCCATCAACTTTATTCCACCCGTCTCATCGCCAGCATCTTCTCGTATGCCACCACTTGCTCTCTCGTAACCTCCTTTTCCCTCCACGTCCTTCTCTTTAGCGTGGCATGACGCAAATATAAAAATATAGAAGTCTATTGTATAATCGGGGGTGCTATCCACAGGTGTGAAAATTATGAGAGCTTTCGCGCCGCGATCCCCCACACTCGTTGCACCCTCTACCCTGATTACCTCGCGTCGCTCCCCCGTTAAGATCATCGTTTCCGCGGCATATATCGCACCATCCACTACACTCGGCTCCCTACTGGAGATCGAGAACTTCGTCGCTTTCTGCAGCCTCTCCCGCGGGCTCACCCTCCTCCTCCCCCGCTTGTCATAAGATTACCCTTCCCCAACAAGTTCGGCAAGTTCCATGCCACCGGGATGACTTCCACACTCTTATCTCACGGTAAGTGGCACGTGTAAGTTCCACGTCGATCATCGGTGTTTTTCTCTGCCCTGCGGAATCGACGAATGTTGAAAGATCAAGCAGGAGCATTCTCAAGATTGGAACCCCCTGGGTGTCACATATATGACGAACTGTTTTCTGCAACCGCGTGACTTTTTGCGCAAGGCTACTTCGGGGGTTAATCGAGAGGGGTCGAATTGTATGGATGCCCTTGCCTTTTCGGATTTGAGGCTGGTATGGTCCCACAACGATTGGTAGTTGATCGCGCCTTAGCGAGTGCCGAGGATAATTGTTGTTACAACTCCTTTCTTGTTCTGCTGTGGGAAATGGTAATTTTGGCGCGATCGTCGTGCTGGAAGATCTTTTTGAATTTTCAAATTAATGTCGAGCCCACGCGGTCTCCCGGAATTTCTTTTCTCATAATTGTTTTTTGGCAATTTGGATCTAGGCTAGGAATTTGGGTGCATCGCAATTTTTCTAACAGTCGCATGACGCTTCTTGCTTATGCACGCTTTGCCGCATCAGAATCTTTGTTCTGGCTTTTCCGCACCTTAAATCTTACGTGTAACTGTAATTCTCTTATTAGCGAGCGTGAATATAACTGTAATCCTCTCTTTCTTGATATCTTCGTTGCGSCCCTGAGCGCATACATTTCCCCTTGTCCTATTGACCCGAACGATTGCATGACTGGATCGATGTGTGGAGTGTGGCTACGTCCCCCATGCCGCAGCCTAACCATGCAGTCGTAGGTACGTCCTTCCTCCTCCTTCCCTCCCCCTCAGACACAATCCCGGGTATCTAGCACAAACACTCATGTTATAAATCTTACAAGCGTGATTAACTTGCTCCCTGTAAACTTTGGAGTTAGAACAACCATTTCGTCAAAACGGACGTATTACATTTTTTGAACGAAATTAAAATTGAGTTTTTGGGCTGAAATCTGGTCCAAAATTTTGGCTCCTGGGGGTCAAGCGTTCCTGGAACGCTGGACCCTCTAGATGTATCTAGTCTCAAGCTAAGACCAGATACATCTAGGGGGTCCGGCTTTCCGGGAACGCCGGATCCCCAGGAGCCAAAAATTTGGACCAAATTTTCACCCAAAAACTCAATTTTAATTTCGTTCAAAAAATATAATATATCCGTTTTCACGAAATGACTGTTTTAGCGCGGTTGAGAGGATCGACTAACGAGCGAGAGTTGGAACGTGACTAGAGAGTTGGGTGATCCGACGAGCTGGTGTTGGATATGTGGGGTTGACGTGTGGCCGTGACGGAATGTGGCACACGGGCGAACCTGGCTTGCATGTTCAGGCTAAGCGGGGTGACAACTCTGTTTGGGTGCACGACGACGGACTGCCCGCATCGAGATGGTGTGACGAGAAAGAAAGCGAGCGAGCGAGTGAGCGACAGAGAGAGAGAGAGAGAGAGAGAGAGAGAGAGAGAGAGAGAGAGAGAGAGAGAGAGAGAGAGAAAGAGAGAGAGAGAGAGAGAGAGGGGGGGATGTATTGTAATGGTGTTTTTCTTCGATTCTTCCGAGTAATTTTCATATCTGGCGCAAGTCGCCCTTGCTTTTGGATTGATCGCTCATAATTTTCCTTTGATGTGTGATTCTCTCCCCCGCTTCTCTCCTCCCTCTGTATGAATTGGCAACTTGATTGATTGATCAACTACAATCGGGGCCACTCCGTACGACGTACGGGGGGTTTATCATATGGTCGTACGTACGGCCATATGAACGGCCGTACGGCCGTACGTACAGCCGCGTACGAAAAAAAATAAAAATAAAAATAAACTGTTTTTTTTAATCTCAAATTTGGTAACGAATTTCAATATGACCCTGAGGCAAAAGTGTTTCAGTTTATTTTTCTGCATAACATATTTTATTTTCAGATTTTTTTGAATTGTTTTTTACTTGCTTTTTTTCCGTACGTAAGGCCCGTACGACCACATGAGCCCGTACGTACGGTCATACGTACGTACGTACGGCCCGTATTCGTACGGGGGTCAACGGGTAAATGAGCTCCCGACCTCGACCAAAGCTGCCACTCGAAGCCGACGCAGGCGCTGTCTGCCCTTTGGGAGGGTGGCGTGTGGAGAATCGCTTAAACAGGGTGAGAGCAGCCTCTTGTGATCGAATGAATCGCACTACCGCCCTTGCTCTGATGATGGTGTCCTCCCTGTGTCCAACAACACCATCTCTCCCATCCTTGCCAATGTCTGACAACATCAAGTTGCAGACATGCCTTGCACAAGGAAGCCAAGTGATGCGACTATATTTGGGATCCTTGTCCTTCGCAAGGAGCTTCGCAGCTGCAACGTATGTCCCCGCGGAATCCATACAGATAGTGTTGACATTTTCAACGCCAAAGTCGCCGAATATCTTCTTCCACCTCCTCACAACCACATCCGCCGTGTCCTTCTCAGCCCCGTTCCTCAGGACTGTCCTCAACAGGTACGCCTTTGACGATCTGGTTGCCAAAAACTTTACTATATGATCAGCAGTGATGGATTTGTGACCATCCGTGAGGATGGTCACTCCTGTCGCCGCCACATCTCTCCTAAGCGTCGCCGGCATCTCCGCAACGTCCTTGTGCTGCTGGACAATACCATCACAAGTGATCGACCATAGTTAGGCAAGGACGGAACTACCCGAGACGGACATGTCGCAAGGTGTTTCTAGAACGTGTTGAACTCAGGCCTCTTCGCCGCATGGAACGGGACGCCGCTGAACGGGACGCCGCTGATATAGAACCACTGCAGGAAATACGAGTCGAAGTCATGCTGCCACTTTGGATCGAAGGCGTGATCCATGCGTGTCTAACAAAACTTCTTTGTGGCCACTATCGTCGACGGACCTTGCGAAGAAGTCTTCCTCTTCTTCGACGTGCCAATGTCAGTGACCGCTCTCTTATCTGCCCTCAACTCTCCTCGGTCTCTATCCGCCTCTCTCTCAACTTCAATTGGAACGTCCGCAGACATGCCGTCGTCCTGCCGACGGCCACCATCAACATTCCCCTCTCTAACAGTTCACACGCCCTACCAACCTCTGCGACTTTGTCATCCGCCACTTGCTCAGGATCGTCTTCATCCTCCTCTCTAGAGTCTCTGCGTTGTTGACCGAGTTGTCCTCTCTTATCTGCCCACCCCTCTCCGCAAGGCTATGAATCCCCCTAGGCGGCGGACAACCCCGGCCAGGCCTCGCAGCCCACGGACGCGCGGCTTTGCCGCACGTGGCGGCCAGAGGGGAGGGGGTTTCGGGATTCGGGAAGCGCCATTCGGCGGCACATCCCCGGCCCCAGTCCCCCACAAAAACAAAATGGAAAAATAAACCTTTTGGTTGGGGGGGTTGAGAAGACTTGAAGAAAAAAAAATTAAACA